GAAATGGTCTGTCCACGATCACCTTGTTGAAAACTGACAGGTCCAAAATCTGTCTCGTTCCTCCGGTCCGTTCTGGAACCAGGAAGTATCGTGAGTAAAAACTTGTATTTTCCTCTCCGTCAGGAACCCTGGAGATTACCTCTTTTGCCAGAAGTTCTTGGACTTCTGCATTTAGGGATGAGACCTGTTCTGGTGATGACAGGACCGTCTCTAAAACTCCTCCGAACGGAGGGGGTCAGGCTGCAAATTGCAGCTTGTAACCCCTGCTTATCAGCTTGGCCATCCATCTGTCTGGCGAGCATGTTCGTAGCCACTCCACATAACGTTCGTAGAGTGGGCGCGCGTTTAGGTGGTGCATCATGTTTTTTACGGACGTCAGCCAGTCTACCGCCTCGATCGCCGTCATGCGCCGCGGAAGTGTGTTCCACGTGACCCAAGGCGAGGCTTCCTCGAAAGGGCTCTGAGCGCGCCTCTGTGCCGCGCTCAGGCTGCGGGTTCACATTCATGTCTATGTGGACCGGCGTGTGTTGAGGAAAGGCGTGTGAAAACTGTTGGTACCGCGGGAACGTGCGTTTGACACCACTGCGGTGAGACGTGTGCTGCTCCTGCTGAGAGCAAGGTTCTTCACTGGGCTCGTTCTGCGGTCTCACATTTATGCTGACGCGAGTGGGCAAGCACTGAGAAGCGGTGTGCGCGCCTTCATCAATGCCGCGCCATTTGAGTGAAGGCTGCTGGCGTCACGGGAGTGCGTGTTTGACACCGCTTCGGTGAGAAGTATGCAGCTCTGGCTGAAAATGAGTTATTCCACTGAACTCGTCCTGCGGACCACATTCGCTTTCGACTATTGTGTCAAGTGAGCGTCTCGTCTTTATTTTGGAGCAGCGGTGATTCGGAAAAAAGTTTTTTAAGGACACCGGCTCGTTTTGTGTGGAGGATGTGTGCGGAGCCGCTGTGAGGTCATTCAAACTGACAGACAACTGACAGACTGGCTAAAATCAGACACTTTAATCATTGAATGATGTTCATGTTTTATTTCAGAGCTCGTGTCATTTTTACACACATCCTCCACAGACCGTCATTTTTTTTATCTTTTCCCCTGTGAGCTCTGCGGTTTGTTTGCCCAGGGCGCCGCCTGTTGGCAATCTCTGGGAAAACGCTGAACTGCCGGTTGCCGAGATGAGGAGGGCTGGTCTCTGACAGGCGGGGCTGGCGGTGGAGCGGAGCGAGAAGACACAGTTGCGGCCGTGGAACGTCGTTGTTGTTGTCTCTGCTCACGACGATCCTTCCAGCGGGCCGGGGGGTGGGATGAGGCACGCGGCTTGATGAGATGGCACACAGTCTCTGACACCTCCTCCGACTTTTTTGAGTTTTCCAACATGGCCTTGAAACTGCTCCCGAACAGTGCGTACATCATGATGGGGCCCTCCATCAGGTCTTTGTGCAGTTTCTCCAGCAGAGAGGGGGAGTGACGGAGCCAGGTGGACCTCTGAATCATCGTCATCCACACTGCAATTTGGGTCAGGAAACAGCAGAAGAGGTGCACATGTTGAGGATGACATCAGACGCCTTGCAAAGGGAGCTCTTGGTCTTCTCAGGCAAATCTGCAGTCTCCAGCCTCTTCGAAACGCTGTACGCCAACAGCGCCACGTTGTTGTTTGCTATGGCCGCCTGGAATGCACATTGGTGAGCTCGATTGGAGAGCGTAGTCACCGTCTGGTTTTATGCTTCCCAGGAGGGACAGGACGCTGCTCCAACCTGGACAGCTTCGCTCCAAAAGCTTCCGCCAGGCTCGGCTCCGGGGGGGGAGGGGGTACCGAGGGAAAGTTCCACTCGGTGAACCCCTCCACTCTGGTGATAGGAGAAAAAGTGGAGACAGGTGCCCTCAATTTACTAGGACCGGCCGCAGCCTCGTTCCAGTAGGACGCCACTGCTGGAAAACGAGGCCAGATGGGATCAGGACGGCGAGCCGGGGTGGAGCCAAACCTTCCCGCTAGATCATCCGATCTGGGCGGGGGAGGAGAGTGACGAAAAGTCCCTTCGTGTCAGCAGCTTCCCGGGCAGCTCCGAGAGGAGGGCACCGACGGCAGGGAGCGATGTGGCCGCTGAGGCGGGAAAGCCCGGAGGGGGTGAGCATCTGCTCGGCCCCCCTCGTTCCAGCACTACGCTCTCCGGGAGGGAGCGAGCATCAGGGCTGCTGCTGACGTTGCCTGTACCAGAGGAACCATCTGATTCGCTCCGAGAGCCAGCGTCGAAGAAGTTGATGGCATCGTCCAGCGAACAGTCTCCTGCCACGGACAGGCAGTCCTCAACGTTAGCCTTAAACAAGGCTGCCCTCCTCTGCCTTTCCTCTGGAGGAAGGAGGTCACACAGGAGGCAGGAGGAGGCGCGGGCGACGTGGCTGGGACCCAGGCATCTTTTGCAGGTGTCGTGCCAGTCAAAATTCAGCAAGTAGCTGGTCTTGCAGGACGGACACAAGCGGATGGTGTTGGTGCTGGACATCTTGTTGAAGGTCAGTGCTATTAGCTTGCTGAAGAAAATTGGAGAGCCGATTACCTGCTCTTAACGTAATTTATACGGACCTGGTGGGGTCCACACAGCAGGTGGGCGTGGACTAAACTTTTCAGTGCGATTCTTTGCATGATGGGATAAAACCCACTAAACGACAGCTCTTAAAGGGCGAAGCCTATACGAAAAAGTATTGTCGGACTCCTGGGAGGGACCAATGCAGACATGTTACTGTTTTTAGTTTTATACATTCACCTTATAATCTAGCTTCTTTTTTTTTTTATCTTTTTGACATTTTTTTGTAAAAAAAAAAATCTGTATGTCTTTTTATAACTGTCTATTGTTGTCACTGTTGTGCATTGTTGTCATCATTCTTTGTTGAAATCAGTTCTCTCTTGTAAATGAGTCCTTGAGGCTCAATAGGATTAACCTGTCAAAATAAAGGTTGAATGAAAAAAAAAAGTTGGTTTTACAGTTTGTAATTTATTTGTTTTATTCCTTTTACGGTTTGCTGTTTTATGATTGTAACAGTTAATTAAAGTTTCAATTGATTATATATATATATATATATATATATATATATACATATATATATATATATATATATGCTTGTATGTGTTAGTGTACAGCACTTTGGCCAATGGTGTTGTTTGTAAAGTGCTTTATAAATAAAATTGTATTGTATTGTGTTGTATTTTAATGTCCTTTGTGTTTTGATTCAGCCCCTGTGTTCCTTTGGTCAGTTCTCACTCTCACCCTCCACATTGCTTGTCATCCAGCTGATCACTCTCACCTACTTCCCATAACCAATCACCCAGGTGCTGCCACTTTCTACTCACTCTCTGCTCTATTTATATAATTTCTGATTACTACTCCCACGGTGCTCTCTCGGTCCTCCTCGTGCTCCCTCGTTGTTTGTTCTCCTCCTGAAGTTTTGTAAGTTGTTGCCACGACATCGGCTTTTTGTTTCTGTTCTTTCAAAATAATCTTGTGTTTTACGTTGAGCTCCTTGTGCCTGCCTGCATCTGGGTCCAACCATACATCGTCTGTGATCACCATAAAGAAAAGCATTGAAAAAAACTACGTTTTTATTAAATAACTAGCACTTTTTTTGAAAGAACACCTTTCATGCCAGCGATTAGATGATTATCGTGTGTTAAACTGTAGTTTTAGTTGTTTATAAATAAAATCAGTCAGGTGCTTGTAACTTTTAGTTCTGGGGATGACTTTCAACTATTGACATCAGTCTGTATCTCTCAATCTGGAAAACTGGCTGAGTTGTAGCAATTTTTGTATTTGCTAAATTAGTTGTGTCTGCCATCTTGAACTGGATTGATTTTAAAAAGTATTTAGTTATACATGAACTCATAATGGTTGTTTGAGAGGTTCATTAAAATTGTTACCAGGTTCATGAGATATTTTGTTAACAGACAGAAAAAGAAATACTAACACAAGCAAGCACATTATCGCCCACCATTGGTCTTTTGGATGTATGATCATAATTGTTTCTGCTTCTTTATTCAAGCAAAAAAACTAAAATATTCTTGTGACTTATGCTAATATAGCTACAGCTGCTGCTGTTATATAAATTTGCAAATATTCACACTCTATTTAAATAAATGCAAACATGATGGTGGTGAAAAAGTCTTCACGAGACTTTAGAGCTTTGAGTTAAGACGACAAGTCAGAATTAAACTCTAGACACTCAGGCAATTCAAGGAGCTATATACAACAGGATGTTACTTGTTACTGAGCCCCTCTTTAAACTAAGTTTTCAAAGCTGTGATTAGAGGAAGCTATTTTCAGAGGAAAGTTCTTGACTGGAACTGAAAAATGTCATTTTCTTTTTATTTACATGATGATAATAATAATAATTCTGCATCTTTAAAAATGTGATCAGAACTTCTTGACAAAGTTTATTATTCAAACTCAGGCCAGCATTAAAGCCATGAAATGTTTTTAATAAGCTTTTAGCTTCAAATGTCTGCAGTGATTGAAGCATTAGCCCGAGTCTATCCACTCTGCCCCAGTTTCAAAGAGAAGGACAAATGGGCTCAAATCGTTATTTTTTATGGTTTAGACTTTGTTGTTGGATCCTGTTTGAGCTGTGTTTATAACTGAGGTTGTTTTTTGATATAATTTTGCTCTAACAGAGACAGAAGAGGCACAGATTGATGGATTCTGTAAAGAACTGAGTATCAGATGTCTTTGTGACATTAGCGTGATGAAACAATCAGAAGTTGTTGAGCTGTTTTCACTTTATCAAGTCATGAAGATATGAACACAAGAGTCACTACGGTGAGAGGACCGTGTGCAGCTGTCTATTAAACAAATACATATGTGGATCATTTTGTTCACATAAACACAGCACAAAAGACAGAACTGGGTCACATCAGACACAAATCAACATCTAAGTATGAAACAAACTGATGGGACCTCAAATGCATTTCCAGATCAACCTGGCATGGAAGCAGCAAGAGAAAAAAGTGGCCTTTACAAAAATAACATCAAGCAGAACATCTGCATATTTACAAAGCAGAAAATCTGCCATCCTCCCAGCCGACCTGGGAGATCATTGAAAACTCTGGAAGCTCCTCTGAGTTTCTAATTTTTGAACATGTCACACAGCAGTTTCTCCATCGGCGTGTTTCCGATGGTCCGGTGGAAGAACAGCAGCTCGATCCGCTCAGAGTTCACAAACCGCAGCGAAGGAAGAAGAAGCAGCAGCTTTCCAAACCTGAAGACAAACAGCGAATAATTTAAAAAATGATGAGCTTCAGTGAAAAACTGAGTGAACTCTGGTAAAATAAGACCCAGCGTTGTCGATGAGCCAGTCACAAAGTCTGACTTATAGAAATAACTGAAAATTAAAGAATATAAACTATATGTGAACTTTGTTAACATGTAAACATAATTTCCCCCTGGTAGTTGAAAGTTATAATAATTTATTAACGAGTCATTCGGATTTTTGGTGTGTTTAGAGACCTCTTGTGGCCACAACATAAAAGTTTATTAAATGTCATGTAAGACAGATGGAAAAATAATAAATAAATA